GGAATACTCGATTTTATGAGAAAAGAATTTGCGAGGTGGTGTTGATCGTGAATTGCTAATGTCAGTTCAACGCTCCATCTTGTTTCAGAATTTTATAGTAAAACGCATTGAATGCAGTTTTCCTGTAACCATTGTTGTGGCCAACGTAATCTCAGGTGTAAATTGGTTTCTTCCCGTTCATTACATCACTGTGATAATCCGTAATAAAAGTAAACTTAAAGCGTATAGAATTTAGTATATTTGTAGTAATATAATTCATGATTTTTCGCGAGTGTTATACTACACCGGTACTAGAGCTGATTTAAAACACTATCCATCCACTTTCTGTGCTCGACGGTACGTTTAATTACGTAAACGTAAACAAACTAGAAGAACCGCCGGCCTAACTCACCGGAGTTGCGTGTTAATAAATGCCGCATGTGCTATCTCTGAGGCCGTTTCGGGCTCCCGTTCTACCCTTCCTCGGAAGGCGTGTAATTACGCGAGATGGCTGCGCCGAGGGAACGCGAAGAGACTGAGGGGGGGGGGCGTATCTGGTCGCAGTGTGCGCGTGGCGGGGCTCAGCTGTTGCGGCGGCGAGGGCAGGCGACGCGCTGCCTCCAAATGGGGAGCCGCCTCGGAGGCGATGGAACCTGAGCAAATTTCAACAAAGCCGTTAAAAATTAAATGGAAAAATAAACTGTTCGTTAGAAACTCGCGGGTGAAGTGTCCATACAATTATTTTTAATTGCTTGTTGGGTTGGGTATTTTCACGCCGTGTTGCTATCTACAAACATATTGTAAATCGTTTCTATGGAAAACTGACGCAAATTTATTATTATAATCCGCTTTCATTATCTAATTGCTAAAACCTAATAGTTAAAATTATTTTCCCAATACAGATATTTTCAATTTAAATTACTCATCATATTCTCTTAAACATTTTAATTCATTGCTTTGGATAAAGTAACATTTTCTTTACTTTCTAAATTAGGAAGATAATACTTTGTTCCATTATTTGCCATGATTTTTATGACTTAATAAAACAGACTTTTTTATAACAATTCTTTTGACATTTCGACCCTATGTGGGGTCTTTTTCAAAAATCTATTCTCCAGACATATTGACACCACATCATAAACAAACAGCATTTTAATAACAAAATGTCAATAGTATAAGAGAAACCTTGTCAAGTCGTAAACGTATGGTCAACTAGTATGACCATTTAATTGAACAGACGAGTTGACCAGATGTTTACGACTTGACAAGGTTTTTTATATTATTAACATTTTTTATTAAAATGTTGTTTATGATGCGGTGACAACAAGCCATGACAATAGATTTTTGGAAAAGACCCCGAATAGAATGGAAACGTTAGAAAATAAAATATTGAGTATTTTAATAAGGTAATGAAATTATTGCAATACAGTGAACCAGATAACATATGCTAACATGCTCATTAAAATTTATTCCATTAAATCATTACAAACTTATAAGGTTAAATAGGTTTTTAAATATACTTTATGGGATTTTCATGACACAGGTCATGAAATAGATACTCTTTATTAAATTGCATTTATTTTCAGTGATGTTCAATATTGGTTTGCGGTTAAAAGATTTCAGATGAATTACAACTTTCGCTTACCTAGATCTGAAGAAACATATTAATCTTTGGGCATAGAAAGGTACTGAGAGATAGCAAAATAATTTTTACGATTATGTGGCAGGTGATACAAAAAACAAATTACAACTTACAAATACAACTGTTTCGATATATTGATTTTCCGCATGACAACTGCTCAGATACGAGATACGAAGAGGTTATTTCCATTTGATCTTTTTTATATCCTCTTACGACTTTAAAAGGCATCGAACATGTGAAATGTCAGCTGTTATCAACCGGGTTGATCGGTCCAGTTCATTGGGATGCATTGATAATGGTGTTTACAAAATGCTGAAATGAGTATATTCGCTTTAAAGGCAACGTATTTTTCAGAACTGCTTCAGAATGGGTGCGCAGAATTATAAAATGCACTACAGGTATGTGTATAGATAATAACAAATGTGAAATTAGGGATAAATAACAATTAATACAGTTCATAACTTCGTCGTTTATTCAGATGCTTAAGAACGATTTATCCTGCTAAGTGTGAAATAATGATATTATTAAGAAAATTACCTACTGATAAAGAACTACGTTTATTGTAACTGTGAAGTATTACTTTCTGCAAAAATATAACATTCTATGTCTTTTCATACAATCTCACTTATATGTGAATCTTCATTTTGCGGGTAACAGTAGATTTTGCATAAACTTTTTATCATGCTTTCTGGTGTGCAAAAAATCTTAACAAATTAAATGTACAATTCTTTACTTGAAAAGGTAACGGAAGTGTAAACGAGAGCAGAGAGAAGCGAGGGGCGAAGCGAGGGGCGAAGCGAGGGGCGAAGCGAGGGGCGTGGATGTCCACCGAAGGTCGAACAGTCATCGCCCTCTCTCGCCTCACGCCGCGCTCGCCGCAGCGTCGCTCCCTCGCAGAGGCGCAAACAGGGCAGGACGCCCGCCGCCTCGCCCTCCGCCCTCCGCCACCCCACGGCGTACACATACGTACACGCACACACACTCCCAGTCACACTCACACTCACACACACACACACACACACACACACACACACACTTGCCGCAGCCACGTCCTCTGGTGATGTAGACGGAATGGAGATCCCCTTGCATTGAGAACAGTGAACGCTGTCTTAACATTATCTTGTATCCGACATTCTATCGCGTGTACTCTTGATTCCAGGATTCTAACGCCTCTTTAAACAATAGAACCAACCCTATTAAAACCTGCGTAAAAGTTGCATTGAATATTTGTAAAGTCAGTTTTCCTTTTTCTGTGGACGTTTTGATTATATTCTTTGGGTACTTGGTATTTTTATCTAACCGTGTTAGTAAATATTTATATAATTAATGGAAATAATCATTTCACGTTATTGTTATTTTAATTCTTAATAGCACACTGTTCAAAGATTCATACTCGCTGAAAACCGTTCATCATTATTTTGTGACCACAACCTCTCTCATTAGTTAATCGGGACATTTCCACTGGCATTGTTTCAAGGTTGGAAAATCCATTCATAGACACGTAGTGTTGTAGAATTCAGAAGATCTGTATTCCAACACAGATAGTAGCATCATTTAGTCTCTTTAGGTTGCATTGACATTTTGCCGAGATATTGCAACTTAAAAAATATGCATATTCAAATTTTCTTCAATCACATCTATGAAACCTCCAATTAGTTCATGTTTCTATTTATTTAATGTATATATGAGTTAAACTATCACAACTGAGTAATCTTTTTCTCTTGTTTTATTTTTCTATTATTTACTAACACCTTCGCAGCGCAATTAAACATCTTTTACTTTCTCTGTCTTTGCTGATTTTTACAGATCCTAACATTTCATTTGGTTGCCTCCCAATTATCTGCAACTGACATGTATTTTCTTCACATTCGTTCCTATTCTTCTGTTGTACCCTTTTTTATTCTCTTCTTTCTCTTTCTGGAACAAATTATTGACACTATTATTCCATTCCGCCGTTTGTCTCACTCTCTCTTTGCTTCTACGAGTTTTATTAAAGTTCGAAAGTATTACTTCATTTTGAAAAACACCCGTGGCATTTATTCTTCACTTTTGTTAGCATTTGCTTCTCATTATTATTTAGCAATTTATTTTCCATGTCCTACTTAGTGTCTCGGCAACGTTCGTTTACACATTACCTCCCTCTCTCTTTTTATCTGTTACTTTGCTTTTCGTTTCTTTGCTCATCTTGTCTTGCCTCTCGTGTTGTCTTCCTTGCCAGTCCATCCCATCTCGTGAAGCCGGCCCCAGTACACACGTCCCTTCCCACCCTCCGCCACGCCCGCCCACCCGCCCTGCGTCCCGGAGCGCTGGTAAAAGCGCAGCGCGTTTGGTTTCGATACAACACGGCGGCGCGCGGGGCGCGTGGTGGCTGGCCTTGCTGCCGGTCCTGCGCGCCGCTCTGCGCTGCAAATAGCGCTGCGCGCCCGCTACGTCGCCCCCGCACGAGTTGCGATGCAATAGACGGCGCCCCCCCACGACCTTATTGTCTCTTGTCGTCGTCTCGTGTACGTGGCTCGTCTTTGTCGTTCCTTGCGTTGAGATTGATGCAATGGCGATTAATGGGGACGTTCGGAGACAGCTAATTCTTCTGAGCCAACTCTAAATGTTACAAACTGAAATTTGCTCCCTGGGTTCTTTTTCTTTAGCAGTTCTTTGCGTGTGTGTGTGTGTGTGTGTGGGGGGGGGGAAGGGAGGCTGAAATTGTCGTCCTGCATTTCTGGAACATACCAGACAAAACTGATCGTTGAAATACAAGATAAAACGTTTATTGAATAAACTCGAACCTTATCAAGATCGATTAGAAAAGTCATTGTATAAATCGTATTACATCCCACAACTATTAAATATCTTCTTAACATTAGGTGTGTGTTTATATCAAAAGAATGTATCTATTATTTCTTGCCTTGCGATTTGTTTTGTTCCTTATCTTTCTACACTTGGTTAATTCTCATTGCAATTAATAAATTCCTGTAATGAAGTTCCCGAAATATTTCCATTAATTCTTCGGTTTCCTCCCTAAGCTTTATCACATATGTCTGTCTCTATCTCATACATCACATATCTTTGTACTCGTATACATCTGCGAACTTTAATGTATTTTACCCTTTTCCTTAACACTGCTGTGAACCATCAAAATCGATACTAACATTGCCAATTTAAAAACTCTCTGAGTTGAGTTCGTGGGGTTTCGTGCCGTAGTTTGGAGTTAGTAATCCGTGTAAAATGCACAGATATTTACGACCTGAATTCCGGCGTTTGTGAACTGCAGTGCAGCAACCAGGAGAAATCTAACTTTGCATTTGATTGTGGGAACGCATCCAGCGCCGCTGGTTGTTGCTCTGGTGAGTGAGCGGCGCTCGCGCTGGGTTTGCGTGCGCAGGACGAGCCCGAGGCCATCTGCGTGTGCCAGGAGCAGCGGCCCGTGTGCGGCACCGACAACCGCACCTACGACAACGAGTGCCAGCTGCGCCGCGAGGCCGTGCGCGCCCCCCTCGCCGGCGCCCCCCTCGCCCTCAAGCACGAGGGCCCCTGCGCCTCCGGTGAGTCCCCAGCGAAGGAAATGAAAAGAAACAAATGCACATAGCCTTGCGGTGTCTAATGGATAGAGAGCTGGGATTTGATGCCGCACCCCGGGTTCGATTTCCGGAGAGGGCAAAAATTAAACCGTTGGTTTTCATTGTCGAATCCCATTTCATACAGCTGGTTGATCATGTAAAAGCTTCTGAAACGCAGAGAATACAAAATAAATTGTGTAAAGTGCTGCGACCTGTTTACCACAGGTCTCATGATCCTATACAATTGCAATTGCCAATAAAATAGTGTTCACAATTGTTCACCCATTCATTCGATGTACAATTGTTGAATATAGGATAGAATTGCTTGACTGAAATGAAAAAAAAATCACAATAAATTATTTTCTTTCCTTGTTTTCAACTGACAATATTTTTTGTTACGTTGCAGAGCTACGTAGTAGTCTTCAAATACTTAAGAGAGGCTACCCCGCGCCAATTGGCATTATATACACTTGACATCTCGCAACTTTTTATCTTCAGCTGTGGTAAAATTGCGGGAAAAGACTGCAATAATTCCTTGTCATAAAAGACAATTGTAGCTGGTTTAACGCACATGGGACTTCCAAGGGAATCATAAACTCTTATGAGTGACATGTCAAAGGGTATACATTTGGAACAAGCCATGAAGGATTGTTTTTCCAATTGTGTAGCATTGAGGGTTCACACACATACCCTCCCACATTGTATGAGAACAATTAAACTTAATTGGAATGATTCAGCGGAACAAGATCAACGGGATTTCAACTATAAAGCTAAAGAGTTGGCTCTTCAATTGTCTCAATCTAAGTAGTATTAAAACATATTAAGAAGATGCCTAAGCAATATAAGGCAGACAGTTTTGACGTGCTCCCGTTCGGAGTTTTAATTAACTTAATATTTATTAAATATTAATATCTCAATTTTCCCGATATGTACGTCTGGCGCTATAATAATGGTGAGTAATCTTTGAAAGTTATTTATTAATATGAAAACTTGAAACTAGAACAATGTTTTGTAGTAACTTGATTTCTGGTAGACCAGTGACAGCCAGACCGTGCACTTTGCTAGTTACCGTACACTCTCCCAATTACCACCGCAGCGTTACCGGCGCAGTTAGGAGAGCGAGTATTTTGCCAGACCGTCGGAAGCTTTACTAATTAGGCCGCGCGGAGCGCGGGTGTCGATACTTCGCGCGGGCGAACAAAAGACGCGCGCTCCGCGTGATAAATCGCCTGCCGTCGCCGCTGGTCGTTAGCGAGGGCCGCCCTGCAGGCCGCTTGTCGGTGTGTGCGCCTCAGCTGTGCGCCCTCCTCTGCCCTTCCTAGTCCCCGCACTTCGTCTCTCGTCCCCTCCACTCTGCGCTCGATTCGCTCGTTTTTGCTCGTCCCCGCCGTCACCTCTCCCAAATAAATATTTTTCCAAATTTGTGACGAAGAGAGGGGGTATTTTGTACTTGATCACTCGAGGCTCCACTTTATTTCTCATCTATCTCGGAAACTATTCGTCTCATTGGAGTTTAGTTTGCACCTTTGAATTTCTCTTAAAATGTTCTACTTGTATACAGAATTTCAGATGGAAGTGCCGAAAATAATATCATTCGAAATTCGTTACGTAATGGGGGGGATACCTTGTACTTGATGAGTCGAGGCACCAATATGTGACTCGTGTGTCTCAAAAACTTTCTGTCTGATTGGAATTTGGTTTGCACCTTTGAATTTCTCTTAAAGTGTTGTACTTATATACAGATATTCAGATGAAAGTCCCAAAAATAATATTTTTCGTAATTTGGCACATAATAGGAGGGTATATTGTATTCACATACGTGTTTCAGAAGGAATCAAGGAATCAAGAATCGAGGAAAGAATCAAACCAAATTTTTCACTTATTTTAGCAAATCGGGCACAATACAAAATCATGCGTATTTCGAAAACTAATAATCAGATTGAGGACTGGTTAGCTCCATTGAATTTCTCGTCGAGAGATGTGCTCACATACGTGATTTCAGAACGATACAACGAAATTAGGTTTTCGCCAAATTTTCCATCAAATTTGGCATTTCGGTCACAATTTTGTTTCACGCGTATTTCGAAAACTAATAAGCGGATAGAAGTCTGGTTAGCTCCCTTGATTATCTCGTCGTAAGATGTACTCACATACGTGATTTCAAAAATAAGGGAGGAATGTAATTTTTTTTCCAAATTTTTACCAATTTTAGCATATTGGTCACAACTTTGTTTCACGCGTATTTGGAAAACTAATAATCGCAATAAAATCTGGTTTTCTCTATTCAATTTCTTGTCGAGAGATATACTCACAACGAAATTAATTTTTTGCTAAATTTTTCACAAATTTTAACAATTCGGGTACATTTTTGTTTACCGCCTATTTCGAAAACTAATAATCGGCTTGAAGTCTGGTTAGCTCAATAGAATTTCTCGTCGAAAGATGTACTCACATACGTGAATTCAGAAAAAGGCGACAAAATTAATTTTTTGCCAAATTTTGCACTAATTTTAGCAATTCGGGTACAATTTTGTTTCTCGCGTATTTCGAAAACTAATCATCGGATTGAAGTCTGGTTAGCTCCAATGAATTTCGCGTCAAGAGATGCTTACATACGTGATTTCAGAAGTAATCGAGGAAATTAACTTTTTGCCAAATTTTTCACCAAATTTAGCAATTTGGGCACAAGTTTGTTTCACACGTATTTCGAAAACTAATAATCGGATTGAAGTCTCGTTAGCTCTAATTAATTTCTCGGGGAGAGATGTACTTACATGCGTGATTTCAGAAGGAAACGACGAAATTAGATTTTTGTCAAATTTTCCATCTAATTAGGCTTTTCGGTCACAATATTGTTTCACGCGTATTTCGAAAACTAATAATCGGATTTATGTCTGGTTATCTCCATTGAATTTCTAGTCGAGTGATGGACTCGCATACGTGATTTCAGAAAGAATCGAGGAAAATAATTTTTTTCCAAATTTTTCACTAGTTTTAGAAATTCGGGTACAATTTTTTTTCGCGTATTTCGAAAATTAATAATCGGGTTGAAGTCTGGTTAGCTCTATTGAATTTCGCGTCGCCAGATGTACTTACATACGTGATTTCTAAAGTAATCAAGGAAATTAGTTTTTGGCCAAACTTTTCCCCAAATTTTGCAATTAGGGCACAATTTTGTTTCTTGCGTATTTCGAAAACTAATAATCGGATTGAAGTCTAGTTAGTTCCATTGAATTTCGCGTCGAGAGATGTACACACATACGTGATTTCAAAAGGAAACGACGAAATTAATTTTTTGCCAAATTTTTCACCAATTTTAGCAAATCGGGCACAATTTTGTTTCACGCGTATTTCGAAAACTAACAATCGGATTAAAGTCTGGTTTGTTTCATTGAATTTCTCGTCGAGAGATGGACTCACATACGTGATTTCAGAAGTAATCGAGGAAATTAATTTTTTACCAAATTTTTCACCAAATTTAGCAATTAGGGCACAAGTTTGTTTCATGCGTATTTCGAAAACTAATAATCGGATTGAAGTCTGGTTAGCCTTTTTTAATTTTGCGTCGAGAGATGGACTCACATACGTGATTTTATAACGAAACGACGAAATTAGGTTTTGCCAAATTTTCCATCAAATTAGGCATATTGGTCCCAATTTTGTTTAACGCGTATTTCGAAAACCTATATACGGATTGAAGTCTGGTTAGCTTCATTGAATTTCTCGTCGAGAGAGTTACTCACATACGTCATTTCAAAACGAAACGACGAAATTAATTTTTTGCCAAATTTTTCACCAATTTTTGCAATTTGGGCATTATTTTGTTTCACGCGTATTTCAAAAACTAATAATCGGATTGAAGTCTGGTTAGCTCCATTGAATTTCTCTTCGGGAGATTTACACACATACGTGATTTGAAATCGTAACGACGAAATTAATATTTTGCAAAATTTTTCACCAACTTTTTCAATTCAGGCATTATTTTTTTTCACGCGTATTTCGAAAACTAATAATCGGATTGAAGTCTGGTTGTTCCATTGAATTTCTCATCGATAGATATTCTCACATTCGTGATTTCAGAAATAATCGAGGAAAATATTTTTTGCCAAATTTTTCACCAATTTTAGCAATTCGGGCACAATTTTGTTTCACACGTATTTTAAAAACTAATAAATGGATTGAATTCTGGTTAGCTTAATTGAATATCGCGTCGAGAGATTTACTTACATACGTGAATTCAGAAAGAGTTGACGAAATTAATTTTTTGCTTATTTTTCACAAATTTTAGCAATTCGGGTACAATTTTTGTTCACGCGTATTTCGAAGACAAAAAATGGGATTGAAGTTTGGTTAGGTCCATTGATTTTCTCGTCGAGAGAGAAGTACACACATACGTGATTTCAAAACGAAACGACGAAATTAATTTTTTGCCAAATTTTTCATTAACTTTTGCAATTCGGGCAACATTTTGTTTCACGTGTATTTCGAAAACTAATAATCGGATTAAAGTCTGGTTTGCTCCATTGAATTTCTCGTCGAGGGATGGACTCACATACGTGATTTTGGAAAGAATCTAGGAAATTAATTTTTTTCCAAAAGTTTTCACCAATTTTAGCAATTAGGCACAATTTTGTTTCACGCAAATTTCGAAAGCTAATAATCGGGTTGAAGTCACGTTTCTCTATTGAATGTCTTGTCGTGAGATGTACTCATAAACCTGATTTAAGAAAGAAGCAACAAAATTGTTTTTTGCAAATTTTTCACAAAATTTGGGATTTCGCGCAAAGTTTGGTTTTTTTCGTCGCATTTTGTGGCCTTACGTCGCCTCTCGTCGTGGAATCTTGCCTACTTTAACCACTTCTAAGAACTGACTATGTACGGCTTTCCACATGGATTCTATAGCAATGGGTTCTATTCGTGTTTGTATGTTCCTCAAGCGGTGAACCGTTGTTTAAAGTAAATCTACAAGAAATATAGATGGAGTAAGTACTTAGAGGTGCAGAGCAAGATACAGTTTTAATGCATGTTCCAGTATGGAAGGCCTTTTTTGTCTTTTGTTCCGTCGTTTCCGTAACTCGTTCCTTTGAATTTTTCCCATCTATTTCTAGTCTGCATTGTATTAGTTCTCCTCCCTTCTGGATGAACGTTGTTACCACCTGAAATTTTTTTTGCCAATTATCTCCATTTCATTGCCTTGTTCTGTGCTGCTCATTCGTCCCTCACATTTCCAATACCACCCGTCCCTCGTTCGTGCCCGCGCCAGTGCAGGCGCAGATGGGGCGATGGGGACGGGGCGTGGGGCCGGGCGGTGGGCGACGCCTTAGGAATCGTTCCGAGGCGCTTTAATTCGCGGAAATGGTCGGAATTTATCCAGACCATTTCGGAGGATGTGGGTTTCCTCTCAGAGGCTTTCAAGTAGAGGTACGGGCAGTGGAGTGCTTCTGCCTAGGCTAACTAAGCTATTGCCTAGGGCCCTAACCTGGGAAGGGGGCCGAAATGTTGCACGTTAACAATGCAGGTTATGGAAAATAATGTCCGAATTTCCGAATGAAGTAGCAAATAATATTGACGAAGCTTAATTCTTTGTAATGCAAAGCTCGACACTGTATTTGTGTTTTTGTTTTTGCACTGTAAGCGACTACATTAAATTACATTTTTAATGTATTGTACAGTAAATAGTAAAATAGCACCTTACAATATCATTTAGAAAATGATTAGTGAATGGTGGTACAGTAGTACTAAACCATTCTCGAAAGATCTATCTATATAATTCAATGCAATATTCTTATAAAATATTTACAATGGCCGGGAAATCTTTGGAAAATGTTCATCACGCTGTAACACTGGCGAGCAGGATTGTTCATTACCAAATATTAATTATATAAATTACCAGGAAAATGAAGGGTTACTCCACTAGCTGCCTGGGGTCAGCCCTGGATGAGGGAAAGCAGCTTGTAGTAATAAAGAGAAAGAACGAGGACATTGTGTTTTGTTGTGTTGTGTTTTGATTTGTAATCTGCTGCTCTCGAACGGCCGCGAATGTTTTGAAATTGAGATTGGGTGTTTTACCGATTTGATAACACTGAAGGAAGTGGATTGTAAACATTTTTTTCATCTGCACGCCAGTGCGTTTCTTAATATGCAACAGATACGACACGGGACATATTTTCGGAAGACGTCAGATGCACAGATGCTACAGAAAGAACAAACCACTTAGTTCCTCTTTAATGTGACATAGAATTTACTAATTGTATTATTTGTAATCTTTATGAAAGAAATTCATGAACTTATGGGAGTTCAAGAATACTCTACTTGTAGGAGAAACACTGTTTTTGCATTTCATTTTGAAACGCAAAGATTTATTATATTCGTTAAAATCTGTACAACACATAATTTATATATAATATAATGACACATTCAAGAAATTTTCATTTATCACAATTTGTTAAGCTTTGAATTTGCGTATTGATGTTTTCAATAATGTCGAGGTACGTCTCGTAACAATGTATATTATTTTTTATAGGTTTTAACAAATGTCGATGAATATTTATTACAGAATGTTCACAGATTAAGCTACGTTGATTCGCGAAAATATCCGATTCTTTTGAATTGTACGAATTAATTAGCTTGTCGGATCATTATTTGACATTATTCTTAAATGTATTATGTTATAGGGATGGATATTTAAATTTATGATTTTAAAATGCTGCGAGAAGTTGAGTATTAAATTCTATTATTTCAAAATGATTTATTAAAAACATAAAGAACTTGAACATGGGAGTATCTAGGATTCACCTCAGAGTGTATAGAATAATGTAAAATCAATACAAACCTATTCTTGAGCATAACCATTTAATAACCATTTGATAAAGCAAAAAATACGCTGTTAATTAGTAATTATTTTCGTGTGGAAATAAAAGTAATCCTCATAGTACATTTTTAAAGAAATCACAAGCAAGTCAATTTTCAACTCAAGTTGACACACTCTTTACTAAAACTTAAAATAATTGAAATAATACTATCAATCTAAATTTTAAATTTGTCATAAAATAATTAGCGAATAGTATGGTCGATCTCTGCACTTTTAGATAAAATAATAATTATGAATTTTTGAGGCATTTTTTGTGCAAAATTGGCAACGCCCAAAATATATGAAAATAAAAATTTCCTCATGAAATCGAAGTAAATAATTTTACATTGATTTGATGATTTTATTATTATGTAACATATTGTAAACATTATCGTCGTATTACTTTGATCAAACTCACTGTATTTCTGTACATTTTAATTTTGTTGAAAAGGCTATGGTAACTTCCAGACTGTAAAATCAGCGGCATTTAATCTATAACTCTATTTACTAAATGGTATGCGTTAACCAATATTGTTTATTTTTTTCTACTGTAGCGCCGTGGGTCATCTCTGGACCAGCGGACCAGCACAGCTCTGTCCATAGCAGCCTGGCTCTGGACTGTGAGGTGAAGGGTTACCCGACACCCAACATCATTTGGGAATTCAAGGGCGAAGACGGAAGCTTCAAAGTGTTACCAAGTGAGTGAACTTCGGTTTTCGATTGTTAATAAAGAAGAAACGATGAACAAAGTTTCATCCGTGTCACTTATCTATGGTAAAAAATATTTACTGCATTGAACATATTTAAAATATTTCATTTAATTTCTTCATATTGATGAACGAGAATAATTTATTCCGCAATGAAATATTTAGTCAACATACGTTTTTTTAAAATTAATTGTCAAGTTAATAGTCATTGCATACATGTCTATTTAGTTGTTTAGTGTTGAGGTGGCGACTTAACGAACTTGTGAGGCAAAGGGCACGAAAAGGAAATAATGTTTGTTGAACGCGAAAATATGAATATGACTATTTCTATCAGATACTTTCAGCACATTTTGTGTTCTAAATGATCATTAAGAATACAACGATATATTAGATAATATTTTACATTTTGTGTAATAATGTAGCTTAAAATTTCCTTCTATTAAGCATGTTACATTCCAAATTACGTTTTAACCAGACTTAATGTTATTCTTTAATTTTGTTACTTTGATATACTTTATGGAAATAATACGTGGGATGGGCTGCTTAAAAGAAATTCTAATAAGCCGACATTCTACATTATTAATATACCTTCTCTTTGGGTGCTTTCGAAACAAAATACTTACAAATATTCAAATGTGTACGTGCGACGTTTCATCGAAAAAGTCGTACACAAACCGTTATTTTGTGCCCCGTGTACACAGAGGAACGACGAGTGTGCCAAGCGTCTGCTACTGACCTGCTGATGAATGGAGCGCGTATATTTAGACGGGTCTTTGCGCATCTGGGCTCAGTGGCCGCGGCACTCCGTTGACGCCCACCGCCGACGCGACGCGGCGGGGACTTCGCCGCAGGCGCTTTTCTGTGCTTCACTGCGACAACGTCCCTCACATGCGCGCAAGTGACAGATCAGTGACAACACCGTCGCCTGTGCATTGCAGCTGACGAGGTTCAAGGGTTAGAGTGCAAGGGAGGCAGATTTTTGACCCTAGTTGGATCGAATTCAACGACCATCTGGAGGGTAATTGAAGCGGTCGGCTGCTGATCGATCGTCTTCCGTCGTTTCACCACTCAACACCAGGCGGATGGCGGAGCAGAGCCCTAACGAACGAGCCGATCTTTTTCTTTCTTTCTTTCTCTCTCTTTGTCCCATACTCTTACTACCGCCATAAACACATATATACATTTACACACAATACTCTACTACTCAAATCGGAAGCTTTGGACTGGATCCGGCTATGGCAGAGACTGAGACACCTAGAGAGGGAAAACCTGGAAGTCGACGCATAGATTGGCGCCAGACCTCACATTCATCAGGCAGAAACAGCGCCACCTACGGAGACAACATGCTACACAATGATTTATCCTAGCACAAGCAGGAGGCCTTTTCCTTAAAGGAATGTTTAGTTGACTCATTATAATAATAATAATAATAATAATAATAATAATTATAATTATTATTATTATACCCTTACGGGATCAATGACGTAAGCAGTTGGTGCGCCCTGTGTTAATAAATACTCTCTTTTGCGTTTCCGCTGCCTGCCCGCTCGCTGTGCTCTTCGCTGCTGCCGTCCGTCCACCACTTCCCACTTGATTGTCGCCGCCATTTCTGACACGCTCTCGGTCTTTGCTCACAGCGGCCACACGCAAATCCAATAGACCGGCGGCTCGCACTCCTTGTACTGCAATCATTTTTCTCTGAGAGGGTGACATGGGGATATTCAGAGCGTCACCTCCGACAGAAATATTGCTTTGTACATTTATTAAAAGATATGGGTGGAGAGTTAACAAGGATGATATTTTCGTCTGAGAAATATTCTTCAAACGTCAACTCCAGCGCATTTAAATGACTCTACTCTCTTAAAGACCAATTCACAAGAAAATGACATATTTTATAGTAGGCTCATCACTTACTAACTATGTTGTCAGGTTTTCTGGCCTACGTTTCTGATTCTAAGTTAACAAATACTATTTTCGGGACATTTTATTCTTTGAATTCACGTGCATTATTATGATCCCATAAATGATTTTTAATAGCAAATGATAAATGTTATTGTTAATGTGTATTCGGTAGTTATGCATGTTTGTTTTGGAAATCGTTGTGCTTTCCGAGCAATCTCTGTTTGGTTTAGTCTAACTCGTCGTGTTGATGGAAAGAAGCGTCATGATCGATCTCTTTGAGTGGGCGATGGGGGTCAAAACACACATCAGTCGTTGAGTAGCTTTAATAGCGCTGTCGCCCCAGCGCCTCCTCCGCGCCAAGAGCTTATTCGCGCTCGCATTCTCTGCACGTGATTGCACTTGCGCCGCTGGCTCTTTGTGCTCGTGTGCGCTTGTGCAGCCGCAGCGTTCTCCGTATCGACGCCCACGCACAGCAGAGCGGAGGGAGTTCGTTTGCTTCTGCCGGTTCAGCATTTAAAACCCAAGGAGAGTGAAGCGCAATCGGAGAGAGGGATAACAAAAAAGAAAAAATTAAAGAATATTCTTTTGGCATTATTAAATTTTGTAAAACCAATAAACATTAGTTTTCCATTGTTTGTCATTAGTTTGTATTGAATTTTAGTATTAACCTAGGGCATTAGAAGGAGCCGTCGCTGTTGAAGTGCGCGCGTGTCGCAGGCGACGACCTGTACGTGGCGGTGCAGATGCGCGGGGGGCCCGAGCCCTTCATGGCGACATCATGGGTGCAGATCGTGGACCTGCGCCCGTCCGACTCGGGCACCTACACGTGCGTGGCGGGCAACAGCGAGGGCACCGCCCGCGCCTCCGCCACCGTCTCCGCCCGCTGAGGTAAGGCAACGGTCGGTCGGATGTGGCTGGCTGGCTGGCTGGAAAGAACACGGTGTCTCAGAATAAATGTTGCAAACTTCGACCCTGTGTGCACGGGTCAAAAATGAACGCTCTTGTCAGTGCACATGTAGTGGAAAATTTCTTACAACGGAGTTACACACGAGACTTCATTTGCACAGATTTCATATTCCTGTTAAACATTTGTGCATACGAGGTTGCCTAAAGATTAGGGGCAAATATTACATGTAAATGTATTTAACTCAGTTATGTTCAATTTGCCACTACATGTTAATTGGGGAAAAGTGATCATTTTCGACTCCTCTACAGGTTCTAGACGTTTCTGACATTTATTCCCAGACAATTTCAACGATATAAAGAAAATAAATGTTAGTTTATCAGTGTTTGTTATAAATTTAAATATTAAATGTTTTTAATATATAAGGCATGTATTTTCTCTTTTACAAATGTTGACGTTCCTCTGTGCTATTTACTCAATTCACTTGCAAATTAACAAGCCTGCAATAATTTTTCCTGTAATCGAATATTAAATGCTTCTGATAAAAGTAATAACCGATAGTAAAGATAATAATTATACATGTTTTAATAATTTGATGTAAGATAAACATTCGCCGCATGCCATTCGCCATGATCGAAGTATGCCTGTTGAACTTTTCCGCAGTCTCTTGCAACGGCTGTGTTGGAATTGTTCATGGAGATAGTTCCTCGGCTTTTTCTATAGGAGACGCCCCGCCTCTAGCAGAAGCCGCCGGCCACTCGCTCTGTTTTGTGGCAGTAGCGCTTACGTTTTTGCGCCTCCGCAGTGCCCTTCACATTGCACAAATTGTCTTCTCTTCTGGACCATGTGTTGAACATTCTATCTCTGCGACGAGCTTTCTCGTGGATAGTTTCATCGTGCCTCGGTCATGAGTGTACGAACATTCTGTCATTCTCAACATTCGCTGGAGGATAATGCGCAAATAATATGAAAAAGAATAAATTACTCATGATTTGAGATAACGTAAGTTTTAAAAAATGTTCCGGAAATTACTACTACATTTTTTGGTCCATACTATATAATTTTCGAACTTTGAAATCTTGTCTTTTCAACTCACACTTGCTATGAAGATCAAAAAAATCTATAACTTGAAGAAACTTACGGATGTTTAAAGAACCAATACTTGGCTACGTCATAAAAAAGCCATAAATAATTTGTTAACGCATTTTTGATAAGTGATATGTATGGGTTTAGGATCTTCATAATTCAAGCATGATTCTTGCTATGAATGCCTTACCACTTTTAGCACTAAAAAGTCTGCATTAAACTTTCATTTCTCTTGTGTACTACACGTAAGACTTAAAAAGAATCCGAACATAAAGTTTCTGACTGAACATGTTTTCTATTGCTTATTCGGATAATTCCTAACATTTTTTAAAAGAACTTTTGCTTTGAAGTGAACTTTATAACTAACTCATCGTTACCTAGAAAGGTAAATATGACAATTTTATTACTAACAAAAATGCTTATTTAGAAGATATGTATGTAATTTATTGAGCTAAATTGTATTTTTCAGGTTCGAGCAAATGTTTGTGAGTCTTTCTGAAAAAACAAATTGAGTTCCGGGGTGCACTTCCAGCTCTCTTTTTAGATTGTGCCATTAAATTAATAGGTTGTACCTGATATTGTTACTGATAATTTATAGTATTAGACTTGTACACAGGATAAATGTGAAGCTAGATTTTGTAGAAATATCTTTAGTACTTCACTTAAGAGCACTTTGACTTAAAACTAGATGTACGCTAGCTTATTTACATTAATATAGAATACGATTTGTATATTTCATAATAAAGTTTAATGAACAAACTTTGAGGTATGTAATATTTATCCACATAAAATCTTATCCTTTATCCTCGGCATTACTGCCATTCAATGATAATTGTTGGCAGGACACTTACCATATTTTTATTTTTGCCACAAAAGGACTTTTTTGATTTCAATATTAACATACTAGATTCTATTAAGCTTTTTTAAAATATATTAAGGGCATTATTTATTACACTTTCACTGTAGGGGGTGTATGCGTACAAACAGGTAAGGCATGCTTCACGATGAAAACTAAATTGAAAATCTTCTCACGAGGCCTACAGAAATCTTCTGAATGTTTGTGAAATTTGAAACTGTGCGCCACTGAAAGAGGTGTCATTTTTTTAACGTTCATTTCTTTTGGCAACATAACGATTATTTGCTACTAATAAATAGTTTTCTGTTTGATAAAATATTCTGATACGGTCTCCTTCGTAAAAGAGATCATGTTGCTTCTCTCTGGTAAATCACGCCCAACCTACTAGCAATATAACAACAGTGTTACACAAAATATATAGTATTACAACCCTGTGTGTAAATGTTTGTAGTAAGTCTGTACCGTTTACGCCTGTGTCACTCGAGCGTTGCATTGACGCGCGACGTAGATGAACACTGTATCTTATGTGAAATAGTCAAATCGCTCGTGTGCCGTTTTGCATACAGTTTAATCTTCGTCGCGCATTGCTTATCGCGCGTCAGCGCAACGCTCGTGTGACACAGGCCTTATGAGAGACAGCATCGAAACTCTCGTTACCGAACATGACGGACAAAATTTCGCACGTAACGTTTGATGCAGCGTCATACGAAATGCAAAAGCTTTCCGGTTTTAGAGAAGTGAAGTAAATCCAAGAGCGCAATATGTAAAAAACATTCTTGAAAAGACACGACAGAGTGTGTAATTACCTCCATTGGCTGATCCGTACCGCCCTCGAAGTTCCAAACACATGCCCCAAGCGGTACGAACAATCACCAAAACCGGTGACATCTGTTGGCCTTTATACAACATTGTACGACCAACAAATTCAAACGGATCGCACGATAACAGCAAAAAACCGGATATTGTTTTACGGGATTTAGAGAAAAAATTGTGACTACTTGTAGATGTTGCTGCGCCTTGCGATCAAAAGATCATAACCAAGAAGGCAGCGAAACGTTTTAAATGTGTGTTTGCACATCGAGATAGCCGAATGTGAGGCGTAAAAGCACACTCGTACACAGGTCATCGGAGCTCTGGGATTTGTTCCGCAAAATTTGTGTAAGAATTTGGCTAAGTGTAAAGTTCACACAAAAGATTGCAAAGTGCAAGATTGCTTTATTTGGAACACATCCATTGCTTCGTTTGTCTCATTAAACGCAAGGTATTGTAAAGGCACAGAGATTCACTAGATTTGCTTGTTAGGTAGCTGGTTGCAACCTGGAGTATATTTTATATTCAGCAGACTCATAACATCTGAGTCGTTCTCTATATGAAAATAATAATAATAATAATAATAATAATAACATCAACAACAAGAACAACAACGATGTCGTTACATGACGGCGAGGCTGATATGATGATGGCGACAACGATGACAATGATGATATGATAAGGCAATGGAGGTAAATGGGAAGGAGAGGAAACGCAGAATCCCTCGCTCACTGCTGCTGCTAACTCACATTATTCGCTATAAATTGCCGGGAGGATAAGGATTTGATGTTCGGCACAACAGGTATGGAAAGCGAGAGCTCTCGGAACTACATTAAAGGTTTCCAGGGTTTCCTCAAGTTGAAACTTAGTACGAGACTAAAGTTGTAGCCCCTCGTCTGCAAAGTGCATCCACATCCCAAGTATAGTATTAATACAACTTCTCATTTGCGGGTACGTTTTTGTGCATAAAAATGCAAAATAATTTACCAATATGGTATATAATTTCAATTTGTACAGAGAATAAAATTGACAGTAATATAGGTTTTACTCCACTTCTCTTCCTTTTCGTAAAACATCGAATTCAACGATTCAAAACTTTTGAATACACGTGTGTTGAGTCGCCAGGCAACTCGCAAAGGCAACACGCTGCACTTCTTTTGCTTGTCACACCGATCAATGATACCTTGAAAACGATCTCTTCCGCTCGAGGAAAATTTTTAATTTTTAATCTTGCGCATTACTGATCCTACGAGATTCAATGAATGTACTATTCAGGGCTTGACCGAAAAATATTGCGAAATGCTCGTACGGATTTAGCAGGGGACATGTTGATGTCACTCAGTCAATAATCCCGTAAGATGAAGATGTAATAAAGCATTTTAGTGTTCTGTAATGTCTGTAACAAACCTTGTTACCAATAAGAATATCTTTCATGTCATGTGGTATGATAATTATGGTCATATTAGACGGTCATTGCACATTCATGTTATCTGGCTGTACATCTGGCTGCGGAAGCAGAATATTAGAGTAGCGCACCTTTGCATGAAACACTGCTAGGAGATTAATCAAGACTATAGCTCCCAACTTACAACTGTGTCTGATAACTCCTCTTGAAGTACTATAATATTTGTTTTGATCGAAAATATTTTTCCCTAATTACGCACTAACGACATTTAACAAAATATTAATTCACTGCATCAGAAACTGAACTCAAACAAGATATGTAAAAACATCTCCTCATTAATAAGATAATGTACATGTTACAATAGTACAACAACAGTTTTCAATCAAATTCTCTAAAGCGCTTTCGAAAACTGACAACTTTCGGTATTCACAATGCTAAATGCTAGACATACTATGATTTAGAATTTCTCCTTGAGGTTAGATTGTGGTTTTTAAATACATTTATACCTAAATTTACAATCACCAAAGTTTCGGTACTATATTGAGACTTCAAGTCTTTGAAATAATATTTACACCTTCAACAGGATAATACATAATACTTGTACAAATATACATTTCGCCTTTTAGTTCTCCTACATTTCAGATGACGACTACCATAGTTTTAATATAATTGAACATGTATCCTGTTGTTACTAAGAAGTAATAATACGGTTTTAAGTTAAAAGAAGTGGAGATATTGGAGTTTGTTTTGTTCCATCCGTCCGTCCAGGAGTTGTGATGGATCCGGCTCCGACCTACACGTGGATTCCGAGGTCTTCTCTCCCAGGTGTCTGCTGCCGGCGAACACCACCTCACCCGGCTCTAGCTGTAAACTTCTGACTAATCTGACATTTGCGGTAGCGTGCTCCATGAAAGCGGAAGTGAGGGAAAGGCAAGGGTCAGGAATGAGGACGGAAAGACCGCGACCCTTCGTTTAGGTACTGCTCTGGCAGCCTGGTATTGATCGGAGAAACTACGAAAAACTAAGAAGTGAAAAAATGTTTTAGATACAATATCTTCAGAATCTCGTAGCATATCCCTTGAAATCGAAACACGTACCATACTTCTAGCCCAAGCAGCCTCTGCTGATTCGTTAGCGCCCCCCCCGTCCTACCTCCAATTCCGTGGTGAGGGGGGCGTGGGTGAGACCGTCGCTGGAAATGACAAAAACGAGGCGTCCCCCGCACGTCATCACCCGCCGCGTTTTTCTCCTCCTCAGCGGCGGGGGCGGTGGCGGCGGCGGGGGCGGCGGAAGCTTGATTTTTTCATCAAAATTATTTCCCTTCTCGATAAATAAATAATTTCGATGTCTTGAGCATCATCTCTCTAGCTGCGTCTGGCTCACAAAGGGACGACTGTGTCATCAGCGTACTCCCGCTGCCCTTCATTTGGCTCAGAGTGGGGCTGGCCAGGAGACCAGCAACTGCTGCTCTGTTCTCGCAATCTGGTCTCCAGCCTCACCTTGTTTCCTCTCGTCTCCCCCCCACCACCTCACTACACTTTATCACACCTCCCCACCCCTCACATCACTTGAATTCACATCCCCGGCGGGAACAATAAAATACAGACACCTCGATTTTCGGGTGTCTATCAAATTGCATCTACGAGTATGTTGTCGCCGCCTGCACTAATCTTTACCATATTTGGAAGGGACTAACAGAACTAATATATTTTAATAATCACGAGAGAGAAAAATTATGGCTAAAAAGATCTTTAAACACGGATTTTAGAAAGCTAATTCGAGATCGTACTATTGAGGTAATTTCAATTTTTTCCTTCTGATAGTATAGGGTGGAGAAGAAATAATAATGACAACTATTGGTATAACTTTCACTTCTCTCAACACAGAAATATGTTTCTGATACATTATGATCGGATGGACTTCTTGAGTGAAGATTTATATGAAGAGTAGTTAATTAAGTAATGGTACTCAACTACCTCAAAATTACGTTTTTAAGTGAAAAATTGAAATTTTAGATATTGATTGTTTGTTGTGCATTGCGATGCATACTTTCCAATGTTTAAACCCGTGTGTTTCTAAGGTTACTTTTTTGTTTGTTGGTACTTATCGGAATGCGCGCGCATGTGCCACGTCTCACGGCCATTTGCAGGTCAAGGGGCCATGAGCCCAAAAAACGAAGATAAATTAAGATTATTTCGTTAGAGATTTAAAAAATACAATTTAAAATAATGTAAAGTTGTCGACGCATCAAAAATAGAATATCCTTTTGGACAAATTCTTTCGTGTAGGTAGGGTAAGGAGTAGTTGTAGTGTTCTCAGACAGCTCTGAAGTTCCTTTTTCTCTTGATTCGCCCGACTCGAAACGTGATAACTCTCGCAATTTTACATATATATTTAAATACATTTTTTAATAGCAGAAAGTCAATTCTTATGCCAAAATCTGAAATTGTTATAGAAAAAATAAATTAGAAATTAAAAATTACTCTGTTAATTGCTATTGTTACCAGTGATTTTTAAAAGTTCTAATTAAAATCCCTGCAAAGAACATATGAATCTTCAAGTTAAGATTCAGAAACTTAAGTATAATCCAAGTAACAATCTTCAAAAGAATAAAAAAATGTTTAATTGTTCATGAGTTGTGATGTTTGAAATTATACCGTGTTTTTTGGAAGGAAAAATTGGAATATCGGATGAAATAATTAATATAATTGAAAAAACACTTTTTACTTCCTTAATATCTACCCTAACAAGTGATCATGATTAAATTCATACAGTATATGCCACAAATAAAAAATTTAAAACTCAGATAAACGATTACCATATGTTCTGAAACTTTTATTTTGATTGAAAAGTAGTAATACGCATGTATTGTAGTCAGAGTGTAATTTATTTCATGATGATTTTGTAAGTTATAGTTGGCCAATGGTATGTTATATTTCTTGAACTTCGTGTAAATTCATTTTGAATTTTTTTAATTTCACGTCATTATCGAATTAATATTTTATTTTAAAACCGATTTTATTGCATTTTCATAATAAGAACATATTATTTTTGTTGTAGGGAATGATAATTTTTAAAATTTCATTAAAATATTATCAGAGGAAAACCTGTAAAACATTGATGATGTGAATGTGAAAGTGAATGTGAATGTGAAATGATGAATGTGAAAGGATCTTGAAAGGTATAAAGAATTCATTCATAAACTCATTTATTAATTTTTCTTTGTATTTATCATACTTTTATTAATGAATTTACAGAAATTCTACAAAGTTTGTACAAAGCTTCTTAAACAATAAGCAAGTTTGTGTAGGGTAATTGGCGTTCCTCAATTTTTCTGGATTCCTTCTTCCGGAAATTCGTTTGGTTTACCATGCTCGAAATTTTCTACCACCCTCCTGGTTCCGGAGCTCTAATAAGAAGAATGATTTTACAAATTATTTTGAATTTGGACTGTTCGTGGTAAATTAGTCTGCAGGGGGAGGAGGAGCATTTAGAACTTTCTCTGGTACATGGCGTAATTGTCGTACGCGAGGGAAGCCGGGGGTTGCGAGCAAAGCGTTTGCACGTACCCGGGCGTGGACCACGTCGTCTGCTCCGGCAGGATTGGCGGGTCCGGGGGACTCCTGCAAAATGCAAAGATATTACGAATAGGCTTTTATAGATACAAATCAGCTCGTGGATCATTTTCTTGTATTTTTAATGTTATTAACTTTCCTCGCATTTATGATACATTTTGAACTATCAAAACATTAAAAACTAGGATTTAAAACATGTAAGATTTTATTGACGCACTCGTTTAAAAATGATTGTAAAAATAAAATTCTCGTTTTCTACTGAATCTCCTAGATAAGGAGTAAAATGCATTCGGCTAAGAAAATGTGATAACCATTTTAAATATTTTTAGAAAATAAAATAATGTGTTCTTCAAAAAGTTTCTCTCCTCCACTCTCTCCGTGAGTAGTGGAAATGCTTAAAATGATTTATTTTCTTTTCCGAATAAAATTATGTTCCATTACAACGAATTACATGGCGCATGGAAATAATAATTGTTACATACTCAAGATTTCACATATTTCATTGTTCGTGTTTTTATACTTGAATAATTTTTATTTTTATACCCAATTCATTTATCAATTCACTTACATTTAGATTTATTATTTTTTCTGTTTTAAGATTAGGGAGTAAATGGGAGCAGGTTGATATTAATTTGGACGAGATATGATGAGTAAGCTGCATTGCTGATTCAAATAAGGAAATACACTATTCTAAACGCTTTGCATTTGATAATATGTGTGGATTACATCAATATTTTATTAAACAATTAAAAAATAGTGTTTCAAAAAATAAAATCGTATGAAATCATGACTTAAGTCCAATAGTTAATTTCGGGAAGTCGAGGTTTGTAAACGTTGTAGGAGAAGGGTATTCAGACTTTAAATTTAATCTTTTTAAATAAAAATTACAATTATCTTCTGTCACAATAATTAAGTAAGAGTTTTATATACACTTATTTATTGTTTAAGCATATTACATTTTTTGTGAACCATTCAGGTACATAATACAACAGGTACATCGATTATAATAAGGAAAGGACCTTAAAACGTGATATTAACAAAGATAAATACTTTCATTTCTAACCACTTTGGTTCTACGTTTAAAGAACACAAACACATAGAAATATAATATTATAAGAGTAGCTAACGTATTCACTTTATACTGTCAATAAAAATATAATTGTGATGAAGAAAATTATGAGATATTTAAAAAAAAATACTTTAGTACTACTAATAAGAAAGAAGTCATTGACCAGTGTTAAAAATATTTCTCAGTAATTACATTTGTACTTTTTGGTCATATTGCGAGTCATAAATTCAGAGACTTCTTGCAATACAAAATTACATTTTCATCAATACAGGTTCCATTGCTCTTAACAAGATGACGAGTGCGGTAATTATGTTTTTGATTTGTTTTAGAGGACATTTTTGTGGTATTTTAGTAATTTTCTCGTGGTATTTAATTTAAAACACATTTGTACACAGTCCAAACAATGTAAATAAACATTATTCAGGGTACATTTCATCTTCATAATACACTGTACTACTCATGTTTTATATCCACGTTCATTGAGTTGAATAATCCATTAAAAGTAAAAAAAGTAGATACATCTATAGTTACATTATTATAATTTGTTTAGATACACATATTTTTTCAATTATTGTTAGAATATGTGCATCAATATCATTATCACTTATGACAGTACACCTCAAAGGTATCGGGAGAAAATTTGATAACTTACATTTGATATGAAAATATAATTGATGCAGCATTAATAGTATAGAAAAACACCGCGAGTCGGAGGAAATGGCGCTTATGATTTCGCCTCGAAACATCGAAGATCTACATCACTTTAATTAGTCGTACCTCCGGATCTCCCTCCTGAAAAAAATCAATTTTGACGTTCTTCAGTATTCGCGATTTACGAGTTATCGAATTTTCCCTCATCCCTTTTAATCTTCAAAATTTTCTAGTACGAAGCACGACGCATTTGCATTGCAAACGCATTTACACCTATGCGCAACACCAATACCATTATGGGTCACAATCGTCTGTCTCTATTTCAATAGAATACTCGTAAAATGCGATAAACAATTATATGAAAATTAATTTTATCATAATGAATAAGAAGATGGATTGAAAGAGGTAGTTCTTCGTGCGCGATATGATCAATCGTCGAATATTTATTGTGTATCAATGGTGGCTGATTCGATTATATTTTTACCTGATGCCCTATCAGAAGTTCATTTTTAAAATGTTTCAAACATTGGTAATATCTGTTTCACCTTAACGACACTCTGCAGTCATTTCGAATATTGTATTCACAAGTTCGTAATACTGCTGTTAAATGATGTTTTTCTAATGGATAGTTTTCGTCAAAAAAAGGTATGGCGAATATTAAAAACGACTTGTATGGGAAATCGTACCCTGCGATCAACAATACCAAGTGAAAATATTTCATTGATTGTTTCTGTGAAGAATAACTAGGATTTGATTTCCTCTGGTGGATATTTCTATAGACACCGTAAGTCCCGTTGTCGGGTTGAGTCCGTAAAAGAGGCAAGGAGGACGGGACAACAGAGCATTTAAAGTGGTGCAGCCAATAAGCACCCACGAACAATGTGGAACTGTGTTCGGGAGAAGGAATTTTAAAACAAGTGTGAGATGTCAATGGAGTATGCTGTATTTGTGAAGTACACATTTAATAACATTTTAAATATGGGATTTTAGAGAAATTGATAGTTTCTCATGTGGTTCGGAATATTCCATCCACGATGCTCTTATAGGTGACCATGAGGAGGAGTAGATCCCAAAGGTGAACCGCGATTTTTGCTCTGTCACAGGCCCATTAAAGGCGGGCCGTATAACCTTTGAGTTGAAGGCCTTGTCTGTGTGGAGCGCGGTCGCGGTCGCGGGCGGGGGTTACTCACTCGGCGCTGGCGCGGTGCAGGAGGCCGGGGGGCTGGCTGCGCGGGTAGCTCTCGGCCAGCTTGACGCTCAGCGGCGCCGCCGACAGCAGCAGCAGCAGGCACCAGATGGCGCCGAACCAGAAGCCGTTCTGCGCACCAGCCAGCAGCGCTTTGAGCAGGCGCACGAGCCCACTCGGCAGGGAGCGTGCGCTCGCGCTTTAATAATGCCTTTTCTTATTAAACACAAGGGCATCGACTGCTATAAAACATTTTACCTAAATCAAATAAATAGTCATTGCAACCCGATATACAGTAAAATGGAATATTTAAAATGTTGTAAATAAAGTTTGACTTATCAAAAACATTACGCAACCTCATTTGACACACTTATTTACTAAATCATCATCATCATAATCGAAATCGATATAAAACGAATTCCATCCAGAACGTAGATATACAGTTTGCTATCGATTTTTTCGCTACTTTCTTTCCAAATCATGTTCTTTTGTCAATTCTCAGATCGATTATCACGTGACGTCGATAAAAATCTCGATTTTATGGGTTTTATTATCCAAAGCAACCGCGAAATTCAGTTGGTCATTTTTACGAATGCCCATTAGTACTCACGTGTTTCTACTGGATATTTTCACTATTCATTAAAATAAATTAACCGATAAGTTAATTAAAAATAATTATAACTGTTTTTTAATCTCAATATGAATGTTTAATGCACGCTACTAAGTATTTAGTTATATAATTTAGCTATGAAATTCTAAATTTAATTTATTTATAGCATAGATTTCACTAATTTACAAGCAGTGCAATAGTAATTTTAATTTATTTGTATTGAAACACTTAATTTGTCACTTAACCTTATAAATATTAGATGTAATCAGTCAAAATGACAGGACGAAATTGAACTTTGCGATAATAAAGAATAAAAATACATTATTTGTATCCCTTAATAACAAAATTCAGTACAAATTGATTTTCGTTTTAAGATTTCCTTTTCTTAGAAATTTTTTTCATGAAATTACTCTGGGAAATTCCCTTGGAAAAACTTCTTTTATGCTGAAATTAGACATGAATGAGACTGCGTGAATTTGTGATTGAAACAGTTGTAGAACAAAGGCATTTATTTCATCTTTGATCTATTGCATCCTTTTAATAACAGTTCTGAAACGTTATATTGGGACTTTATTCCTTCCTAGTATCCCTAAAAATTACAATATCTTAATGATGGCAAGCTCGGCACATCTAGATCTTACTCCTGATGTGTTCACCAAGTTTCAGCTCAAAAGATCCTAAAGGAAGAGTTATGCCTGACATGTCCCTATTCTACACAAATTGGTATTTGAGTATATTGCATGTTGCACCTCTTTACCTGTACCAATCCTCACCATCTTGGAAGCAGCACTAATAGACTTTAATCCTGATGTATTTATGAAGCCACAGCTGGAAATAAATTTAAACACAGATTTCGTGACCGATATTCCAGATCATACCAGTATTGTATTGTATTGTTCAGGGGTTCCAGAAAGTAAACATTTTCTGTTGCTTCCATTTCATCAAACGTAACAATACAATTTTGGAGACGTAAGAAATTATGGTATAGAATCTGTTAATCGATAATTACTCATATCAATTCTTTTGGGTTGGTATAACAGCCATATGTGCCATGTCAATACATTTTTGAGTTTTGAATGTAAGTTAGTTAAGCGTAAAGACAAGAGTATTGTGCAGTGAATGGTATAATGATAAGTATAAGATTTTTACTTGTCATAAAAGCAGTTAAGAATTGAAAACATGAGAGGAGGGGTGGGAAGTAATAATATACAGATTGACGTTATAAATACGAATGATCAATAAGTAGAGCTCTTGTGCCACACTTGATTATTTGATAGTCGTGTATAGGAACGATTTTCAAATAACCTATTGTGACACACTATTATTGTGTAGTTTAATGAAATTAAAAGTTTTCCAATATTATTTTAACTTTGCGATACTAAGGTTTCTTGGCAGAATGACTCGTTCGTTCTCAGTCCTGCGTTTATTTTCAGTGCGAGCTTCTCCACTCACTACGTGCACGGCAGCAAGGACACAAGGAATCTGCAGAGCGTAGGAGCGAAGATCCGCCTGGGGCCATGTGTGTAAACAGAAGGTTCTGATCTCAACGCGGCGTAAGAAACGCGGTGTCGTTGGCCCGCGAGCAGGCCGCTGCACTTCCGGCAGCCCGGCGCCACGCGAAGCAAGGCCTCATTGCCTGCTCGTGGGCGGGGGAGAGGAAATGCGTGGAGCAGGGCGGAGGGCACGGATGGACGGCGAGGGAAAGGATGGGCTCGGGTGCGGGGCAATTTCTCATCGATCAATCAAATTTTCAGAAATCCACAATTAGAAAATACAAGTGTCGACATGATGCGTTAAATATATTTAGTCACTTAGAAAACAGGTTATTGTGGTTTTTCAGGCATTTAAGGGCGGAAAGAATGCGGAGGGAGAACGGAAGGAGGACGGAAGGAGAACGGAGGGAGAACGGAGGGAGAACGGAGGGAGGACGGAGGGAGGACGGAGGGAGGACGGAGGGAGGACGGAGGGAGGACGGAGGGAGGACGGAGGGAGAACGGGGAGGTCGGTGGGAGGACGATGGAGGGAGACGGAGGGCAAACCGAGGAAGGTGGTGGGGTGGGCGCGGGGACGCAGGTGGGCGGAGGCTTACCAGCGGGTCCATGATGTGCCTGCACAGCAGCTGGCGCACGGCGTGGAAGAGGTCCCAGATGGGCCTGCACGGCGCCACGCTCTCCCCGGTGGCGCGCAGCACGTGATCGCGGTACTGCTGCACGTAGCTCACCAGGCGGCCCGCGTACTCCCGCGACTTCTGCGAACACAGCGCGGCACGCGCGTTCCAGCGCCCTGCTCTCCTCTTCAATCGTAACACACAATTTAACCGTAAATAGACTGAGTAATTTGTTGACAATTATAATGTGGTCGGCACCCAAAAAATTTAACATGAAAAATTTACTGGAAATATTTAAATATGTGTTAGTAAGTGCACACAGATAAAATGGTTGTGTTAAAGTAATAATAATGTTAATAACAAAATGTATTCGTTTTCAAAAGTAACATTTTGAGGCTACTTACAGTATGTGAAATGTTGGATCCTTGGTTGTTGATGAAAAACTGGATAGTCTTCAAATGAGATAATGACTGGTTGACCTGTCTTTGCAGAGGTACCAACTGCACTTCTAAAGAGGTGATCTGATACACCAGATCCTCCTGGAAGTGGAAATGGAAGTCAACGTGTAAAAGTGAAGAAATTATTTTTTTCAAAGAGTTAATGCCTGTAAATTTTATTCGTGTTAGATAATAAGTCGTGCTTTCCCCAACAGGAACCTTTTTAGAAGAACAACTAGGAGATCACTATCTGACGTTCGATAAATAACATTCCCCACGGTTTAATTAAGTGATTTTAATGTAAAGGGCCAAGGTATTCTGTGATTACTTCTAGTAGATACTGTTTTATGAATTTGAGACGGGTTTGTTAAAATATTTTAAAGAATATTATTGTATAATTTTTAAACACATTTTTCTCCACCCGCAATGAAAAATCCTGAAAAATATTTGTGTTAACTGACGTTGACAGTCGGATCGTTTTGGTTAATAGATGTTTTCAAAATAAAAGAATTGCAGAGAAGAAACTCACAAGTAATTTTTGATTTGAAGATTTTTGATTGAAATTTAAAGCAGTACGTGCGTAATGCTTTAATTTATATTAAGCATATGCGCATTTGAATGATCACATATGGATCTTTCACGTAGGAAGCGAAGGATTAAAGAATATGTGAGCACTCACGAGTTTCAGAACTGGAGAGGAGGAGATGGCGGTGGTGGTGATGGTAATTCAGGCGACAGTAGGGGTGATGATAACTGCGTAATGGGAGCATTCAGGTGTGATGATGATCGTGCTGATGTGAGGATGAAGGGCGGTGGTAGTGGTGGCATTGGTTTTGGAGTGGTGATGGTTGTAGGACAAAAGGATGTCGTGATGATAGTGTGGCGATGCCAGGTAGAGTGACGCTGTAATGAAGATGTGGAGGTGATGATAGTACTGGTATTGATGTGGTGGTAATGTTGGAGACGGCACTGGTGTTGGTATGGTGGTGGTTTTGGTTTTGGAGCAGGTAGCGGTGGTAGATGTGATGGTGGTGTGGTGGTTTTGGCCCGAGGCGGTGGATGTGGTGATGGAAGTGCGCAATTGGTTCGGTGAGGCTGGGCGTCAGTGGTGAGCCGTAGTGGCAGCTGCACCTTGCGCAGCTTGAGCGGCTCCAGGTGGCTGGTGAGCAGGCGGCGGGTGCGCGAGGCCAGCGTCTCCATGCGCGACGCCGTCGCCAGGTCGGTGATCTGGTTGGCCACGCTCTCCAGCTGGTCGGCGAACGACGTCAGGTCCTTGCCGGTCACCGGGCTCGACAGCTGCGCACACCCACCCCGCCCCGTCAACGCCTCTCTGAGCGTTTGCTCTGCGTCTGCGGGGCTGAAAACCCCCGGTGGAAGAGGATTCGGGAGTTCAAACACGTTCCAACCATCTCTGTCGCTTCGTGTTCTCGGCAAAGGATGCACCAAGCTCCGGATGTAAACATAGTTTGCAAGCGAGAGGAACAAAGCGTTTTGGTATTCATTGCATATTTTAATAATGGACATAACAAATTAAAAATTATTATATTATAAACGAAATATTACTCGCGTACCTCGGTTCTTATTGGCGGAGAAAACAAGCAGGATGAGAAATGACCAGATAAATTCTCTGGATTAATGCATGTGAAAAAGAGCTCTATGAAATAAAATGGAGTAAAAATTAATTATGTCTTAGATTTTGTAGGCAATTAGCATAGATACTACGCACTGACAACAGACAGACAAAGGAAACATTTCCTTCTACTTCAGAATAAAAATGTAAAGTGATCAGAAACTGAAATTTTGAAGCAAAATTGTCAATATACAATCAACTAACAACATATAGGAAAACACTGCGTACTGTTTGTTTGGCTCCGCTTACATCATATCTTCACTCACAACGAATGGACTGTGAATTTGAAACATCAAAGAAATTTCCATTGTTACAGTGCTTCACTGGTGAGATAACGTCTAGTGAAGCTTGATATAGGTCAACCAAAATAAAGCAGAGGACACAGATCCATAATATTGTGAAATAGCATTGCATCATAGGATGTTTGAAATGTCTAGATGCTGACTTCTGTTGCAGGGCAAAATGATGAGATGAACATTGCGTCATTGGCTGGATGGTTTTGGATTCACGGATAGAAGAAGACTTCCCGTGGGCGCTGTTTATAAGTACTTGTAGTAAGCAACGGTGTTGCCGTTGAACTATCGAGGCTGGTCAATTATGTTTCAATACTTGTCAGAAATGTCAAACAGGAAATAGAAACAAGGAGAATCCTTACGGTCATAAAAGAATGTAGCTGGTTCATCGGGTTTAGGCAGTGGAAGTAGACTACTTGTTTGCCCACGTTTTTAAAAACATTTTTCTATCATTAGATCTATAATGAACAAGATAAAAAAGAGTTAATAAACAACTCAAATCTTCTCTTTAGCCGGTCCAGATGGCCGAGATAGTTAAGGTATTAGTGCCGTACTGATCTCGGACCGAAGGATCGAGGACTGGTATCCCTCCACGGGCATGGTATTTGTGTTCGTCCTTTCACCCCCATAATCACCATATCATGTCATTTTTACAGTTACTATACTCTTAAATGCAATAGTGGTCGATAATGACCACTTGTTGATGTGACCTTAAATAAAAAAAATCTTTCTTTCAGTTAGTATAAAATATGGTAGGAAATAATTAAACAAGATATAATTACATCACTATGAAATAAAGAAAGATTGTTTTTACATCACAAAAACAGCAGTTGTTAATTAGCACGTGCTTGTACTTTTTGATCTCGTATATTATAGCCCTGATGAAGGAAATATAATATCCGAAACGATGTCAAAGACCTAAGTAGCCTATGTAGATCCGCTGGCCAAGCCCTGTGCTCGCGTTGATGGGGTCCGAGCGCACCTGCGAGCGGTGAGACGTGAGGTTGACGAGCGCGGCGTTGAGCAGCCCAGACAGCTGCACCTGCAGGCCCGGGGTGAGCAGCTGCAGCTGCGTGAGGTTCACCTCCAGGCGGTTGAGCTGCCGGTGGAGCTGCTCCCAGCGCCGGTGGTCCGTCGCCGCGTCCACGTCCAGCACCTGGTGCAGCCGGAACGCCGGGTAGCTGGGCCTGTTCTGCTCGCACGCCCTGGCAATGACAAGGCGGGGGAAAACCAAATGAGAAGAGTGCGAACAAATTGATTTGTCGTTTCCCTAATTAATTGGTGCTTCCGGGCGCGCCAACTGCCACTAGTCCCGTAAGAGAAGTGAATGTTTTTATCGTGGGAGTTGGCGGTGATCTTCCCGCTGGCTGGTGAAATGCGGCTCCGATCTACATCGACCTGCGGGGATTTGCCTCAACCAGCACTACCTCAGGCGGGTCAAGCTCCACGCACCCGAATGGCCTCTCAACACGTGTGGTAGTGTAGTGGTTGTGAGTGTAAGGGTGTGTGAGTAAGGGGTGCGATATGACATGGAAGAGGAAGGGAAGATCGCGCGAAGTCCATGGTCCTTTTCTCAGGCACTGCTCCGGAATTCGCCAGATGTTGATTGGAGAAACCACGGAAAACTACCGATCGGAGCAGGCGGTCGCAAGAATTCTCCATAATACAATAGCTGAATTCGACCTAGCTGTCTAGCTAGTCGCGAAAATCCTGCCATCATTGGGACTCGAACTCTAGGGCCTCCCGGTTAAAGGTACTGCAGTGACTTCGACTGATATCCTGAACCACCTTTACCAGCGGTTTGTCATTTATATTGAGTGTATGGCGGTGTAAACAGTTGTGTGATGGTAAAACGTGAAGTAGGGAATGTAATTATAAAGGGAGGAAACTTCAACTGTAGCTTGAAAAGAGCAAAGTTTAGGCATTAATTGATTGATTTGATCGAACCGTTGCTTCACTCGTATAAAAATCATTCCACAAAAACAGTCACAATCAATAATTCAGAATTTAATCTATTTTCTAATTTTGTGTTACAGGTACTTAAAAACAAACAGTAGCACGAATATTAACCATTTAAAACTAAAAAAAATTCGTTATAAAAAGGCACATTTTTGACAAATTAATGAATGTATTAATAGAAGACAATTAGAGATACAATATCCAAGATCATACTACAGAATGAGTGATTTCTGTTAGTAAAAAATTCACCAACGTGTACCTCATGCTGTTAGTAATAATTCATTTCGATTTCGCCCAGCCTACATGTATACTACCAGAACTTTAGGCGGATTTGCAAGTCTCGAAGCGCTGTACACGAGTGCAGATGTTATTAGTATCATTGAAAACAGCGAGTGCTCTGAAAATTCTGAGGTCTGGCTGACGATCTAAGGTTCTGACGGTCTCAAATCAGGCGAGTTCTCAGGAGCGCGCGCAATGCAGTTCTGTCATTTGCATCCGAATTAACTTACTTCTCATTTTCTTCCTTTCTACCGAACAAATAGCTTTTATCATTACGAAGTAGTACTTAGAACTATTAGTAGTACTTAGAACTATTTGATAGCTTTTAAACATTTCAAGCACACGTTTCTGGACGTTACAACGGAACAGAAATCGTCAAGAAACTGCTGTACAGAAGCAAAGCATTTGCAGCAAAATTCGATAGGAAATGTTTTTTCATCTAACCAAAGAAGTTACGGTGATGTATTTTTTATCACTTGAAATCACCATGTTGATAGATCATATTTTGAAACGCATTTCGTAGTTGCCCAGATAATAATATTTCCTTCATTTAGAGGCAAATTGAAGTATTCATATTTTTACGTTTAGTACATTTGCGAAGTTAAGAGAAAAGCCTACAGATTGTCCGCGTATTTTGTTTGTTCCTCTCCGCTTCTGCCGCGCCGTTCACGCGCCGACCGGAAGTTGCATGAGCGGCGCTTTGTTTTGGGATTCAGAGCCCTTGAAAGGTGGCGACCGCGTGGCGCAAGAGCCCCCTCGCAGCTGACGCGCTTGGCGACGCTCCAGCTACGCCACGGCCGGCCTTCTCCCTGCCAGGCCCGCCCCGCCCCCGACCCCCGGGCCCGGGGCCCCCCGCCGCCGCGGCCCGCCCGCCCGCCCCGCGCCCGCCCCGCCCGCCCCGCCTCGCCGGCTCCGCCCCGCCGCTCGCCGCCGCCCCCGCCCCGCCCCCGCCCCGCCCTCCCCGCCCGGCCCCGCCCCGCCCCGCCCCGCCCCGCCCCGCCGCCCCGCCCGCCCGGCCCCCCCGCGCCGCCCCGCGCCGCCCCGCGCCGGCCCCGCGCCGCCCCGCACGCCGCCCGCGCCGCCCGCGCCGCCCCGCGCCGCCCCGGGTGCCCGCCCGCGCCGCCCCGCCCCGCCATTGCCCGCCCCGCCCCGCCTCCGCTCAACCGCCACCGCACGCAGCCTCGGCTGTGGCCACCGGCTGCACTCGGGGCTTCGCCGCCGGCTTCAAGCCCTGCGGCATCGGCTGTTTGGCCGTCTCGCTTCTTGTTCCTCACCCCCGCGCCCATGCAACCGCGTTCAGCCGCCCCTCCCCTCTGGCACCTAGTGCAGTTCCGCATCTCTGCCTTCGCCTCCGCGTCCGCACCCCCTCTTTTCCCTCAGCCTCTCTTCTTCAGACTCTCCCCCAGTGGCCGCAATGTTGAACGCTCATTTCAACTGCACACGGCTTCTGACTTGCCTCTTCTGCTTCCATCTTTTTCACCCACTCACTCATTCTGTGATTCGTCTCTCCTGATCACCCAGAGTGTTAATGTGTTCTTTTCATTTCTTTCCATTCCTCCCGTCCTGCCCGAATCTTTTCTTTCATCTGTGTCACAGTTCTTTCCCGTCTCCTCCTCGACCCTCTTTCCTCGTCTGTTCATACCGCATTATCTGTCATTTCCGTGACGCCCCCAGTCCCTTTACCCTCGACCCTCTTGTCCCATCCTCTCTTCTAGACTAGAATTCTATTACTCTCTTTTTTTTTGCCAGTTTTTGTGGTGTTAGATGTTCTCCAAATTTATTTTGCCTTCCATTTTTCCTCTTTTTTTCTTTGTTCAATATTACTATACCGATTTACTCAAATTCCGTTTATTTATTATCCACTAATCGCATAATATTGAATCATTTTATGCTTGAAAAATCGTTTAAAATAATCGATGAAGTCTAATAATGATAAGAGTATTCAACGATCTTGTGGCTCTAAGACTTTTTTAACATATTTGGTTTAAGGTGTTTCATTCTTTCATACAATTTTTCTTAGGGTGGCCACTAAAGAATTTTCCTCACACAAATCATTCGTGCATCTGAGGAATTTATTTCTAGTCTACACTGGTGATTGTATCGTCTTTTCCAGAAACATAGTTTTTACTGTTTGTTTTGTGAATTGACTATACATTTAGGAGATAATACATTTAATTACTATTTGGAGATCGATGTTAACCATATTTTGCTTTTTGTCTTTTCATTGCTTAAAATCATTGTTGGAATCTTTAAAACAATTCCTGTAGTATGTTGTCAGTAAAAGGGCACAAAAAACAATAATAAAAGTTTCGTGTGTTTAGTTTTTTAAAATGATGTTGCCGAACAACCATATTTAATTTCATCGGGCCGGCGAGGATTGGAGTAACATGAAGTTATTCCAGACTAGTCCACTCACAAACATCCCTTCCTACACGTACACACACACCCAGACGTACTCATCCGCGTGCAGGTCCGGCATTCGCGCAGAAACTCCGTCACGCGACGCGGGAGCTGCGCCGCTCACAGGCTTCATGCGCGTCATCGGATTCTGGAAGCGGCAGCCGCCTTCGCGACCCTCGCCGCCCCCCTTCCGCGCCCCCAGATGCGATTTGAGGCCTCCGCCGCAGAGGGTATTTCGGAAGCCTCGAGTGGCGGTCGCATCTTTCACAGAACGAAATGCAGGTCTCGGCGCAGAGTGCTTCCTCTGTTTTGTGTAAAACAAACTTCGCATCTGCATCGGCAGCTCTAGTGCGAGATGTAGCGCCACAGTCAAACTAAAAATAGTCTTGCTTCTCTCTCGTACTTACGCTCAGAATATTCTGGATTTAGAAAAAGATATTGAATTGCAAGTTAATCATATGTCAGATATAAATTGCATTTGAGACACATGTACATCTTGATAAGTTCGCCATTAAGACATGGCCGTATGCAAACATATGAAGAGAACAAAAAGATAAAAACAACACCAGTTATACATCAGTGAAATTTATCAATAAAGCACATAATAGGTCTTTCTAATAAGAATGCGTAGACAGTCTTTATAAAGGCTCCTCTTGAATCATCAAATAATTTGCGAATTGTTGTGGGTATGTTTTCTAGGTTAGATTTCATTTGTATAAAATGCTTATTCCATTTCTTGGATGCATATTTCAATCTATTTTAGTGATATTGCAAACTAGGTGCAAAATATGCGCTTTAGGAACAAAGTTCACTTTGAACTCATTTGCTATCTACTATTAGATGATTTGTTTACCGAGAATATATATTTAATTCAGTATAAACTTCTCTGGAACTATTTTCTTCACTACCACTTCGCAATGCACTTGCTTACAATCGTTTACAATCAATTATTAACTCAGATTTCCTAGTTTCCAACACTTGTGAAGTTTGTTGTGTAGTCGCCTAAAGTGCAGATGGGAGCGAGTCTTCTACAATCTCCCGTGATGGATTATGGACCCTGGTGTTTGGAACAGCAATTGAGGGAAGCGCGGCGCGGAAACGCAGAGCTCCATGGACTGCGTTCAGTATGCGCCGCGAGCGCCGCGAGGTTCTCAACCACTGCACGTGCGCTCGCCCCGCCCGCTTAATGCATGTTAAAATTAGGGACATATGCGCGGGCATATGTCTGCGTCGCGGCCAGTTCCGCTCCGCTGCTCGAACCTTGGACCCGCGCGGGTAAACACAGGAGGCGCTGGAGCGGACGCGGCCAAGGCAGAGACGGAGGTGCAGCTGAGGGGAGGTGGTTGCGGTGTGGAGGCGGAGGACAAGCTGAATGAAGAGCAGGTGGTGATAGAGGGGGTGGGGGGAGATGGAGGAGAGGGAGCTGGAGGAGTGGGTGATGGAGGAGAAGGAGGAGGAAATGGGGGAGATGGAGGATGCGGATGGAGGAGGGGGAGATGGAGGAGAATGAGGAGATGGAAGAGGAGGAGATGGAGGAGAAGGAGGAGATGGAGGAGAATGAGGACGATGGAAGAGGAGGAGCTGAGAGGCAGGGGAGATGGAGGAGGGGGTGGGGATGGACGGAGGAGCAGGTGGTGTGGAGGAAAGGAGGAGGAGAAGGAGGAGGAGAATGGAAGGGAGAGGAGGAGGAGAATGGAGGAGTGGAAGGGAGGAGATGGAGGAGGAGAAGAGGAGGAGATGGAGGAGAGTGGAGGAGGAATGGAAGGAGGGGAGATGGAGAGAGATGAGGAGATGGAAGAGGAGGAGATGGAAGAGGAGGAGATGGAGGAAGGGGAGATGGAGGAGGGGTGATGGTCGAGGAAAGAGCTTGGAGGAGAAGGAGGAGGAGAGGAGGAGGAGAAGAGAGGAGGAGATGGAGGAGGAGATGGAGGAGGAGAGAGGAGAGGAGAGGAAGCATGGAGTGAGGAGGAAGAGATGGGGATGGAGGAGGGGAGAAATGGAGAAATAAGGAAGAATGGAAAGAGGAGGAGAATGCGAAGACGATGGCAGGAAAGATAATGGAGGAAAGGGAATGGAGGAGGGGGTGATGGTCGAGGAAGATTGGAAGGAAGAAGGAGGGAGGAGAGGAGGGAGGACGAAAAGGAGGAGGAGATGGAGGAGGCAGATGGAGGAAGGAGAATGGGAGAGAGGCAGGGATGGAGGAAAGAAAGCATGGAGGGAGGAGATGAAGGAGGGGAGATGGAAGTGAGAATGAGGAGATGGAAGAGGAGAGGAGATGGAAAGAGAGAGGATGGAGGAAGGGGAGAAATGGAGGAGGGGGTGATGGTCGAGGAAGAGTTAGGGGAAGGAAGGAGGAGGATGGAGTGAGGAGGATGGGAGGAGAGGGAGATTGAGGAGATGAGGGAGATGGAAGAGCGGAGGAGATGGAGGAGGAGAAGAGAAAATTTAGGTGGAACGAGAGATGGAGGGAGGGGGGGAGATGAGAAGGTGGAGAATGAACTGTGGAGGCGGTGGAGGCTGCGAAGTGGAAACGGAGCAAGCAAGGAGGCGAGGTGGAATGGCTCGCTGTCGACGGGGCAGGCGAGGGGAAGGGCAAGGGCAGGAGCGCGGGCGCTGGCGGACGGGGGGCGAAATGGGGGAGGAATTGGCGCTTCGAATGGGGGCGGGCGCGGGGCCCGGGGCCGAGGCTGGAGGACGGCAGAGGCGAAGGCGAAGGAGCTGGGGGCGGCGGAGCGAGCAGCGACACTAAGCATAATGACAACCACGATACAAGGTAAGCGAAATGATGACGGAGGAAGCGATTCGGAGGAGGAAGTGGTCACGAGTGAGTGAAGTGGGCAGAATGCAAGGAAGGGAACATAATTATTGTGAAGGAAAGGAAGGAGGGGCAGTAAAGTGAGTGAAGATAAGGACAGGGAAAAATAAATGTAAGAGGCGAAAGAAAGTGAAGTAAAACAGTTGAATATTGCGGGGGAAAAATGGAAGAGACATGCACCGTATGTTAAGACAGGAGAAACAGTGAAACTTGAGATGGAGAAGAGACCAAAGGCGCAAAAACACGAAAATAAATGACAAACCTGTAGGAAGCACATAAAGTGAAGACGTTGATCAGATAAGTGTTTGTCAAAAATGCAAGAGAAGTTCATGAAATGAAACGGAGGAATGGAGGTGAGGGGGAGAGAGCTGCAGAAAGCATTCGCCGAGTCGTGGGGGCAGTGGCGCTGGCGGGAGCAACGACAGCGGCAACGACGTTTGCGCGGCGAATTGAACCCGCGCGTTGACGAGGCCAGCGCCGGACGTAAATACTCTAAAGACAACACGCGGAGCCGCCGGGGCGCTTGGCGCGGGGGGCGGAGGGAGGGGGGCGGGGCTGCGTCGCGCCATTGCCTGCGGGAGCGCTCTGAGCGCACGCGATGTTCTGCTGAGCGCGTCATTTGCTTCTGGAATATCAAACGTACACGGCCGCGGGGCACGGCCGCGCGCGCCAAGTGATAATTTTAACTTGAGTTTTTTGGTAGCGTGTTTTTGTACCGCCTAAAAAGAATGACAGGCTTTATGGTTCGCATTGGAATCGTAATGAACAAGTTATTTTAATGTAGTGCAGGAAAAAAGTGGGAAATCAGCAATTCTAGATTTAGATTTATTCAGTCAAAAACAACAACAACAACAACAACAACAACAACAACAACAAAACAAACAAAAAACAAAAACAGTAAAAACTGTATGTGACGTAGTGGGAGAGGATTATGTGCGCACGTTTTCTTGAGTTCCAGAATCCCTTCCCGTCATTTTAGCTATAATAGTTGAGAGATGAGTAAAAGTTTAACACAAATAAATAAATAAAATAAATAAATAAATTTTAAAAATCGTAAGATTAGCAATATTTGAAAAATAGTCATTTTCGTTTCTGAGTTATAAAAAATTTATTTGAATTGGTACACGAATTGCAAGTATGATTTTTCTGCATTACTAACAAAATACCAACTCGCCCTTACCTCTAGTCCTACCATTACAAGCAAAAGGAGAGTGCAACAAAACGTGCGCATAGTGAAGTGAACAAAGGACTATCTCACCATTTGCTCAAGGGATCAGGGAAACTGGACGAAAACCTGATCGAGATGGGTCGAGATGGTTCTAGAATGTCGTATAAATCAAATGCTTACAATAATATCAGAATAATCATTTTATTTTTGGAATTAAATTTATTTTCTCTTTGTGGATGGGGAAGAACAGAAATCAA